GCGGCCTTCCTGGCCCGGCTCGCCGCGGGTGGGTCCTGCTGCCATCACACACGTGACCGCTGTCTGGTTAGAACCGCGATGTGGGTGCTGGGACCGTGGGAGCTAGGAGAAGCTGCCGTGCTCTGTCAGGCTGCGCTCCTGTCCAGTGCTGCTCTCCTGCTGCTCGACGGGAGATGGCACAAGGCTGGGCAGCCTGGCTCACGTCCCGGCACCATTCTCCAGGCTCCAGCAGTCGGCTCTCTTGCCTGGTCCTCCCCGATGCCTCCTTGTTCAGACAGGCGTTCAGGCGAAGGTTAGGATCCCCTTTCTCACACCCGACCGCGTTCTCCCCCTGCTTAGAGGCTTCCATTCCTCTTATGAGTCCTCCGTCCCCAAGCTCTTCGTGACTCACAAGGCCCTGCATGGATCTTCCTAGCGTCATCTCTTGCCCTCCCCTCCCGCTGCTCCTAATGAATTACCTAGGAATCGGTTCCCGCACACTTCAGTGGCCTGCTCCAGCAGTCGGCTCTCTTGCCTGGTCCTCCCTGATGCCTCCTTGTTCAGACGGGCGTTCAGGCGAAGGTTAGGATCCCCCTCCTCTCACCCAACAGCGTCCTTCCCCATGCACAGGGGCTTCCATTCCTGTTGTGAGTCCTCCATTCCCAAGCTCTCCGTGACTCACAAGGCCCTACATGGACCTTCCTAGCGTCATTTCTTACCCTCCCCTCTCGCCGCTCCTAATGAATTACCTAGGAATAGGTGCCCGCACACTTCAGTGGTCTATGAATCGCTGGGGATCCTGTTACAAATGCAGATGGTGGTCCAGCAGGTCTGGGTGGTTATGCCTCTCTCAGGAGCTTCCCAATGATGCCCACACTTACAGCAGCAGAGTTCCAAGGCACCAGCGTTGCTCCCCCTGACCCGGGGGCCTTTGCACGCTCTGTTCCTTGTGCACGGAGACGCCCCGTCCCCTCGCTCTTCATCTGTCGAACTCCTCATCCTTCAGGTCTCAGCTAGCTTGTCGCCTCTTCCAGGAAGCCCTCCCAGATGCTTCTCCTGTCACTAGAATACACGTAGCAGTTGTATTGTGATGGCCCGGTGAGTTCTCGGCAACTCCCAGAGGGCGGGCGCCATGTCTGACCAGGATTGGCTGCTCATAGATGTAACAGATGCATCCAACGCCATTTGGATGGGAACCTAATTAGGACGCAAACCATTTGGTGGGGAAACTAATGCAGTGGTTCTCAAACGTGAGTCTTCATCAGAGCCCCCAGGGGACCTGTTAACACAGACACCTGGGCTCCGCCTCCAGCTCCCCCGAGTCAGTGATCCTTGGTCACAGCTCCAAAGTGTGGGTTTCTAACGAGTTCTCGGTGCTGCTGCTGCTGGTCCAGGGCCCCACTTTGAGGACCACCCTTCTGTAGCAGAGGGCATGCTCAGATGGCACCTACCCCCCCGCTCCTGCTCCAAGAATTACCTGCACCTCAACTATGCCGTGGGGTCCACCCACCTGTGCATTAATGCAGGTCCCTGGAGGTGAAGGGGCAGGTTAGCTGCAGGTGAAGAGAGAGAGACCCACATGCTCTTTATGTTCACTCTTCTTGGTGGAAAGTCTTCGGCTTATTTTGTCAAACCAAGCACAAAACAGCGAACACGACTGAGTCTCTCTTTGAAGTTTGAGGATGTTTATGGTCTCAGATTCCAGATAGCAGCCTCACAGTTCAGAGTGATAGGGATTGCTGCCGTCGGAACAGAACGTTTTCAGAATTTGTACCGACCCTAAGACATCTCCTGCAAGTCATTCCTTTGGGAAAATCAGGAATAATGAATTTCCTTTGCTCTCCCCAGAAAGGGCGCCGTTGTTCTGTTGAGGGTTTACTGTGATTGCCAGGGCATCCCGGGCTCAGACATGTTGCCCACAATGCTGTCTTTAGCCCATTAATGAGGATGCCACGCACATGGATTGAGTGACTGCAGATAAAAATAGACGCCCCTTAAATAGCCGAGAGGAGGCACCCAAGCATCCTGGGTGTTTTCATTCGTCTTCGACACTTACGTCTTGCTTATCACCGTGCCAGGAAATGTGGTCTAGAATTGGCTTTAATTAAACGGCTGAGGAAAACGGAGAGTTGAGCTAAGCTACCCAAGTTCTTCCACTTCTCTGGGGCGCCATGCAGCAACTCACAGAAGTGGAATCACACTTCGCCGCCTGCCTGCAGCCATCTCACCTGTGAGGTCAGACGCAGGCCCCTCCGCGGGGCTCACTTATCTCACCTGTGAGGTCAGACGCAGGCCCCTCCCCGTGGTTCCCTTAGGTCAGTGGTCGGCAAACTGCGGCTTGGCAAACCGTGGCTCGCAAGCCACATGCGGCTCTTTGACCCCTTGAGTGCGGCTCTTCCACAAAATACGATGTGCGGGCACACACATACAGTGCGACTGAAACTTCATGGCCACACTCAAGGAGCCAAAGAGCCACATGTGGCACACAAGCCGCGGTTTGCCTACCACGGCCTTAGGTGAACGGACTCCCCCGCGTGTTGGTGGGCTGTCCTCTGGGGCCTCCTGCTCCCCCGAAGTGGGGATGTGCCCGCAACCAAGGCAGTGTGCCCTTGACCAGAATAAACCTGAGACCCTTCAGTCCGCAGGCCGACGCTCTATCCACTGAACCAAACCAGCTAGGGCTGCTTTAAAAAATAAATATATATAAAATTGATTTTAGAGAGGGAGAGAGAGAGAGAACCATTGATAGGCTGCCTCCTGCCCGCCCCACTGGGGACCGAGCCTGCAACCTGGGCATGTGCCCCGACCAGGAATCGAATGGTGACCTCCTGGTTCACAGGTCGACAGTTGGGCATCCGCTTGCTTTTCACACCTGCTGTTTACAGATGGGGCTTAAGTTGTAAAATGGGGAAATGCCCTCCAGTAAGTGTGCCCAGCGGGAATCATCGGCAATGAACGAATGAAGCTGAGAGCTGCACGTGCGTGTGGCCCGTGTTCTGGAAGGACCTGGGGCCGTGAGGGGCACGCAGCTTTGCTGTGCTGAGCAGACAGCCATGGGAGGGCAGGCCAGGCCGCCGGACGGGCGTCAGCTCTCGGCTTGTGTCTTCCAGCTGCAGAACCAGAGCGAGCTGCGGGCGCCCACGGCTGAGAAGGCTGCCTTCTTCCTGGACGCCGCCCTGGCTGCGCGCCGGGGCCACCGGCAGGACTGTGACGAGGACGACCTGCGCAACTCGCACATGCTCTTCACGCTGCACATCTACCAGTACCGCATGGAGAAGAGCGGGAAGGGCGGCAGTAAGTCCCTCCCCCGCGCCCCCGGGCGGTCGTGACCTGGTCCACGTGGGCGGGTCCCCCAGCCCAGCGTCCCCTGGCCCCCCACCCCGTGTGATTCACGATGGCTGTGGAGTCCGGGCTGACGCCTACCTTGACCTGGCCGAGGGGAAGGGTGCTCCTGGTGAAGATAACTTGTGTCCCTGCCATGGGCGTGGAGAGAACAGAGGTAAAAGGCCAAGCAGCTGATTCGTGGTATCGTTTTGTTCCCAAACGCTGAAGGTGCTCATCATAAAAGACCAGCGTTTGTCCGCCAGGCACCTGGCAGTGTGATTAATCGTGAGCTTGAGTCCGCTGTATGGGCCCGGAAGGAAGTAGGTTCTGCTATTTAAGTGGCCTGTGATCAGGCGATGGAATAGCCGAGTGGATTCTGGCTGCCCCCCTCTCCCCAGGCCCCGCCCCTTGTGGGGGTTCCCTGTCAGCCCCACTGTGGTCCCTGTGGCAGCTGCAGGGCCAGGACCCGCCCGGGGGGAGGCTCAGGCCCCCGGGCTGTCTGCAGCGCGCACTGACCGTGGCCGCGCTCTGGCCTGTACTGGTGCCAGCCCTCTGCCGAGTGAGTTCCTTAGAGGGACCTGGGACCAGGGCAGGGTGGCCCCCTG